ATGGGCGTGGTTACTAAGACCCTGAAAGACCACAGCACCAATATTAGGAGAGCTGAAGCTGAGTACCACAGGGGACAGAGCATCGTCGAAAGATTCAATAAGACCTTGGCCGAGCGTCTCTTTGGGTACCAGTATTGKAAAGAGCTGGAAGATCCCTCCAAACGCAACAGGGAATGGACTCAGAGGCTCCCCCAGGTCGTCGCGGCTTTGAACAACGAGGCGGCCAGGGCTACGGGAATAAAACCCAGGGATGCCATAAAAAAGAAACACGTGGAACACAAGTCCTACGTCAGGAGTTCGAGGGCGGTCGGACTGAAGGAAAAAAAGCTCCCCCGCAACATAGTGGTCAGATACCTCTATCAGACGGGGGAACTCGAAGGTGGCAGTAAGAGAGCCACGGATCCTAACTGGTCTCTGGAAACGTATGAGATTTCGAAGTCCGTCACCAAGGAAGGGCAACCCGTGTTGTATTACCTATATGGCCCAAGTCGTGGATTTGTCAAGGAAGAACTGCTCATAGTCCCCAAAGACTCAAAGTAGTGCTGCTCCACGCGCCCGATTACACTCTAGGCATGCCAGTCTTACGTTGCCTCTGCAATGCCCGCGCTTGTTGTTGATACGATCCACGGAGAAGTGCTGATCGTCATTTGGGTCAAAGCTCCATAGTAGAGGTATGTTACACTTGGCACACCTTGCCCCTTTCTCGTAGATGTCGTCTACACATAAGTCGAACTTTAACCCCTTTCCTTCGTCGTGGCGCTTGTAGAGAAGGAGTTTCTTAGCAATGTTCTCCTTAGCTACGTCCTCCGGCGTCTTATCGTAGCGTAGTTGCGGACCCCAGGCTCTTCTTAACTGTTTGGCATACTCCACGCGGCTTACGGCGGTGTAAATAAGGTTGCTCCAACACAGCCGCTGTTCTATGATCCATAAGGTTTCCTTTATGGTAAGCCCTTGCGCGCTGTGGACTGTCATGCAATAGCCCAAGCGCCAGTCTGGATGGGAGGTTATTTTTTCCACCTTTTCTATGGGTACCCAGGCTTTATCGTGGGTAACTGCGTTCTCTAGTTGGATGTCGGTACCGGGTACTAAAACATATTTTCTTTGCATGCGGGTGTCACGCGGCTTATAACAAACGGGAACCAAATGACTAGGGAACCGCTCCTGGTGTATTCTCAGTAGATCTTTTTGTATGCGCGACTGTGCTGCGCGCTTACTGCTTAACACCAAATCCTCAGGATGCCAAGAATACAGGAAGTCTTCATACGACTTCGCTCGCATTCTTTTTCGTAACACCTTAGATTGTTCGGCGTCGCTAAGGCCCCTTAATTCTGCCTTTAATTTCCTCACTTGATCCTTGCTACGGTAGTCTGTGTTAATTTCTTCRTGATAGTCTACCATTTCTTTTAACCATTCATGGGGCATTTCTCCGGCTATAGGAGGTGGTTGACATGGATCCCCGGCAAATACGACTTGGCATTTTCCACGGAGGAAGTCTACGAACTCCTGCAGGATTTCTAAGGGCACGGTACAGATTTCATCCCAAAGTATCACGGGAGGTATGTCGTGGATGGCTTCCGGCACCCACTTTTGGCCATTCCAACGAAAGAAGCTGTGGTAAGTTTGCGCGTCGTGGCCCATTTCGAAGAGTTCTCTTTCCAAACGATGTGTTGGAGGTAGCACCTTTATCTTAGGAAAGAGTTCTAACACACGCGTCGTCTTACCGCTACCTCCCGTACCGTAAAGGTAAGAGAAGCGTTGGTAGGAAATAGGGTCCACAACTGAGGGCAGTGGCTCTTCCGTCGGCGTAATGGAACCGCGGGTGTGTTCTCCGTGATATTCTACGCGTGCCCTCCAGGCTTTTATTTCTTCATCTTTGACGCGCCATTGGCCACTTTCTGCGAGTTCRTCGGCAGTGTAGAATTCCTTCATCTTTTCCAACACACTGGGCTTCACGTACAAAGAATCCGTGGCTACGCGTGGAATGTCTTCTTTGTCAAACCGCAAGAGCATTGCGAGAAGGTTAATGTGCGCGTAGGCTAACATGCTGGCACGCAGATGATAATATTGCGGTCGATGGTCCTGGTAATAACACAGCGCAGTCCATTTGTGCATCTGATCTTCTACGAGGTAATCCCTTTTCTCTACAGACACCATCGTTCCTTGATCGTGGGTACGTTTTATGAGGAAGCTTAACTCTCCTTCGTCTGTTATTAAACGCCGTTGCATGTGCTTCTC